CATCAAACAGGTATTGTCCAGCCCCTATCATCCTGCTTCACAGGGTTCTCTTGAACGTAGTCATCAGACTATCAAAGCACTCTTGAGAAAGTTTTGTAGTGAAACCTCTAAGGATTGGGATAAGCAGATTGACCTTATAATGTGTATTTTCAGAAGTCTCCCCAATGAGTCCCTAGGAGTATCTCCTTATGAGATGCTCTACGGCCGTAAGTGCCGTACTCCCCTTAAGGCTTTCAAAGACTCTCTCCGAGATGCCACCTTCAGTGAGCATCAGAATGTGCCCCAGTTTCTTCAAAACCTTCAACACATTCTAGAGAGAGTCCACCGTTTTGCCCATGATAATCTATTGAAAGCCCAGGAGAGAATGAAGACTCATTACGACCAGACCAGCAAAGTAAGAAAATTCAAGCCGGGAGACTTCGTCCTTGCATACTTCCCTATCCCAGGTTCACCTTTACAAAACAGATTTTCAGGACCCTACCGCGTCAAAGAGTGCAGGAATAACAACAACTACGTAATAGAGACTCCAGATAGGCGGCGGAAGACCCAGCTGTGCCACGTCAACCTCCTGAAGCAATATAATGGTACTCCTCCCACTGTCCTGATTAACTGTTCTACCTTCACAGAACCCTACATCCACAGTGAGACCTTCCCAGCTTCTTCTCCCGAAAGCACTGACAAGGAGTCAGCGCTTTCTATTCCCGAAATCCTTAATGATCTTCCCAAATACTTTCAGGATAATAATCGTGCTCCTTTGCCCTATTCTAATTCCACTCTCACCTCGTCAGATAAGCCCTTCATCCTCCATGTCGACGCCAGTGGTACCGACGTTGGTGGTGTCGTGATGCAACAACGAGGCGAGAAGAATACACCTGTCAGCGACTACTGCTACAAGGAACTACGGAACAATTGGCAAGGAGCTACTCTTCATCATCCTGAAGCTCCAGCACTTCACTCCACACCTGAAAAGTGCTCGGTCTACCATCAACACGGACCACACCACCCTACACCTCCTGCAGCACGCCCACTTCTCATCTCAACATCTTCTACTATGGGCTTGCTAACCGCAGAAATTCAACCTGGAGACACGCTATACCAAGATTCCGACAACATCTTAGCCCATGATCTCTCCAGAGTTTATGAAGTAGAAGCGACTCCATCCATTACTCCACCACATAACGACGTACTTCTTCCAGAACCGCAGGCTTCGGGGGAGAGTTGTGACAATAATCTCCTTCAAGAGATTGAGCCTGCTCTTCCCTCCACAAATACGTCGTTACATCTATATAAAACTACTATGGAAGAAATGTCCAACAACGACAACAACACCAGCAAGGTTTGCCAGAGCGCAAAACGTATGCAGCCAGGGACACCTGCTCAGACTCAAACCGCCAAACTACCCGTCTTGCTGCCGGCTCCTCGCTGATTGGTCGCCGGTCTGGCTGCAACTGCACTCGCCCACCATACTACTTGATGTCTGGGGCCGCCACGACCTCAGTCCTCAGAATATTCAGTGCTTTCTCACAGTTAACACTTCTCCCTGCTAGACGTAAGCTTTGGCGTATGTGTACTGAGAGAGGTGATAGCTTAAAGCCGATATTCCCGCACCTCTCATTTACTTGTCTATTGCACTTCTTGTTATTTTGCTCACTTGTCTTAACGTAACTTTTCATTGTGTCATTTAATTATTCTTATTATTTTGATTGATTTTATTATACGAATTTGTTTGTCCATTTTATTCATGTTTTGTTTATTTAACGTAATTAAAATTTCATTGTTAAAATTTACTTGTGTTTTGTGTGTCTTCTCCTTACCTTACCACAGACGAAGTTCCAGATTTTCTATTTTTTTTTATACTATGTGACGAGGCCATACCCCTAGCTTTGAACAGCCGAACACCAACGCGTTACCGTCACAATATATATATATATATATATATATATATGTCGTACCTAATAGCCAGAACGCACTTCTCAGCCTACTATTCAAGGCCCGATTTGCCTAATAAGCCAAGTTTTCATGAATTAATGTTTTTTCGTCTACCTAACCTACCTAACCTAACCTAACCTAGCTTTTTTTGGCTACCTAACCTAACCTTACCTATAAATATAGGTTAGGTTAGGTTAGGTAGGGTTGGTTAGGTTCGGTCATATATCTACGTTAATTTTAACTCCAATAAAACAAATTGACCTCATACATAGAGAAAAGGGTTGCTTTATCATTTCATAAGAAAAAAATTATAGTAAATATAATAATTCAGGAAAACTTGGCTTATTAGGCAAATCGGGCCTTGAATAGTAGGCTGAGAAGTGAGTTCTGGCTACTAGGTACGACATATATATATATATATATATATATATATATATATATATATATATATATATATATATATATATATATATATATATATATATATATATATATATATATATATATATATATGACAATGTCAGACCACGGAGGAAAAATGAAACAGGAATTTCCTTAAGTACTTTCATATATTAAATACATCTTCAGAAGGTGTAAATAAAATAAATAAATAAATACACCTTCTGAAGATGTATTTAATATACGAAAGTACTTAAGGAAATTCCTGTTTCATTTTTCCTCCGTGGTCTGACATTGTCACATTCTTAATCATGTGCTTATTTTCGTGATATACACACACACATATATATATATATATATATATATATATATATATATATATATATATATATATATATATATATATATATATATATATATATATATATATATTATTAAATATGACCGAAAAAGTAAGATTAATAATTCTAACACGAATTTTCTCAATCTTTCGTACATTACGCTTCACTGTTGGAGGTAAATCAAAAATCACTTCTCCAAAATTCATTTTTATTTCTAGTCTGACGCGACACGGGCGCGTTTCGTAAAACTTATTACATTTTCAAAGACTTCACAAATACACAACTGATTAGAACGTATCTCTGATTTTATATCTACATTTGAGTGAGGTGGGAGGGGTGATGTGGCATTAACACAAGACAGAACACGAGGGGATATTAATAGGGTATTAAAAGTATCAACACAAGACAGAACAGAAACAATGGGTATTGAATAGAAGTGTTTGTAGAAAGCCTATTGGTCCATATTTCTTGATGCTTCTATATTGGAGCGGAGTCTTGAGGTGGGTAGAATATAGTTGTGCAATAATTGGCTGTTGATTGCTGGTGTTGACTTCTTGATGTGTAGTGCCTCGCAAACGTCAAGCCGCCTGCTATCGCTGTATCTATCGATGATTTCTGTGTTGTTTACTAGGATTTCTCTGGCGATGGTTTGGTTATGGGAAGAGATTATATGTTCCTTAATGGAGCCCTGTTGCTTATGCATCGTTAAACGCCTAGAAAGAGATGTTGTTGTCTTGCCTATATACTGGGTTTTTTGGAGCTTACAGTCCCCAAGTGGGCATTTGAAGGCATAGACGACATTAGTTTCTTTTAAAGCGTTCTGTTTTGTGTCTGGAGAGTTTCTCATGAGTAGGCTGGCCGTTTTTCTGGTTTTATAGTAAATCGTCAGTTGTATCCTCTGATTTTTGTCTGTAGGGATAACGTTTCTATTAACAATATCTTTCAGGACCCTTTCCTCCGTTTTATGAGCTGTGGAAAAGAAGTTCCTGTAAAATAGTCTAATAGGGGGTATAGGTGTTGTGTTAGTTGTCTCTTCAGAGGTTGCATGGCTTTTCACTTTCCTTCTTATGATGTCTTCGATGAAACCATTGGAGAAGCCGTTATTGACTAGGACCTGCCTTACCCTACAGAGTTCTTCATCGACTTGCTTCCATTCTGAGCTGTGGCTGAGAGCACGGTCGACGTATGCGTTAACAACACTCCTCTTGTACCTGTCAGGGCAGTCGCTGTTGGCATTTAGGCACATTCCTATGTTTGTTTCCTTAGTGTAGACTGCAGTGTGGAAACCTCCGCCCTTTTCCATGACTGTTACATCTAGAAAAGGCAGCTTCCCATCCTTTTCCGTCTCGTAAGTGAAACGCAGCACGGAACTCTGCTCAAATGCCTCCTTCAGCTCCTGCAGATGTCTGACATCAGGTACCTGTGTAAAAATGTCGTCAACATACCTGCAGTATATGGCCGGTTTCAAGTTCAAATGCCCACTTGGGGACTGTAAGCTCCAAAAAACCCAGTATATAGGCAAGACAACAACATCTCTTTCTAGGCGTTTAACGATGCATAAGCAACAGGGCTCCATTAAGGAACATATAATCTCTTCCCATAACCAAACCATCGCCAGAGAAATCCTAGTAAACAACACAGAAATCATCGATAGATACAGCGATAGCAGGTGGCTTGACGTTTGCGAGGCACTACACATCAAGAAGTCAACACCAGCAATCAACAGCCAATTATTGCACAACTATATTCTACCCACCTCAAGACTCCGCTCCAATATAGAAGCATCAAGAAATATGGACCAATAGGCTTTCTACAAACACTTCTATTCAATACCCATTGTTTCTGTTCTGTCTTGTGTTGATACTTTTAATACCCTATTAATATCCCCTCGTGTTCTGTCTTGTGTTAATGCCACATCACCCCTCCCACCTCACTCAAATGTAGATATAAAATCAGAGATACGTTCTAATCAGTTGTGTATTTGTGAAGTCTTTGAAAATGTAATAAGTTTTACGAAACGCGCCCGTGTCGCGTCAGACTAGAAATAAAAATGAATTTTGGAGAAGTGATTTTTGATTTACCTCCAACAGTGAAGCGTAATGTACGAAAGATTGAGAAAATTCGTGTTAGAATTATTAATCTTACTTTTTCGGTCATATTTAATAATATATGTCTACAGGAAAGACTGCTACCAAAATATACTATATATATATATATATATATATATATATATATATATATATATATATATATATATATATATATATATATATATATATATATATATATATATATATATATATATATATATATATATTTTCATTTACCTACATGTAAAATATCTTCGATAGCAGAACCTTTCAACCATATGATGGTAACAGACGGGTCGTCTAGCACTTGTTGTCGAGATTGGTAAGGCTGAGAGATGTGTCTGACAGCCAGGAGAGCCATGAGGTTGCCGGCGTAGCTCTGCGTCAACACCACCGTCACCAGCCCCCACACCACCATCACCACCCGCTCCCACCACCAGTCCGCGGGACCCATGATATCTGGAATCAAAGTTGTAGCATATAATATTTTTCATGAAAAATCTTTTCAGGTTCAGAAATACTATTCAGTTTCATGCGGTTCATTATATTTACTCTTGTCTTGGATTCTTGATAATGAAATATTTATCACTTACTTACATTTTCTCTATATTTACTGTAACTTTTTATTTACATGTGTTACTCTCCGATCAAATATAATATTAAAATATGGGTTTTAAAGGTTGAATGATTTTAGTTAGTGTGTGGTCTAACCGTACTAACCTTGCAGTAACAACATCCGTATAAAGTCGAGGGTAACCAACAACCAGTTCCCTTGAGCACTCATGTTGCCAGAGAGGCAGTAAGACATTAGAAACACCACGAAAGGCAGCACCAGCAGGGTGGCCAAGATGGCCGCCCACACAAGCGGCTCTAGAGGGAACAGGAAGCCCCACGGGTCCACCTCCGCCTGACCTCGAGCACCCATAATCCTAGAGTAGTCAATGAATACTGTCTCTGTGAAGTCAACCACATCTGCTCGGTCTGCACTTATAATGAAGGGGCCAACAGCAAGATCCACTTCCTGCAAAAGCCACAATGAATTCTTCATTTACTTCTCATGACAATTAATTGCATCCTATCATATAAAACCAAATTCCAAAATTTCGAATATAATATAAACATTCCTAAACAAAACAAACTACGAGTATAGATGTACTCCTAAACATAAACAATTTAATATTATTACAATCAAATATTAATAAAAAAATATCCTATATATATATATATATATATATATATATATATATATATATATATATATATATATATATATATATATATATATATATATATATATATAGATGATGATGCAGCTCTTATATTTATATATAAGAGCTCTATGCCTAGAAGGGGTACCACCTCTAATGCAAGTGTAGGGGACCCATAGCCTCGGAGAAGAAATTAAAGATTACTCAGAGAAGACCTTGTGGATCCTCACTGAACACTTTGATATTTTCTTCTCCTACCACCCCTATTCTTTTAGTATGTGTGTATATATATCTAACTTTATTCTAAAATTTCATTGCACAAAAAGGGTTACAACATTGGTTACATGCAAGGAACAAGACTACTTGTCACAAGTTGCAGAGCTCCTCCAGCTTCTCAGATAGCGGGCAGGAACCATGGATGCAGTAAGCATTTCCTCTCTGGATCGCCACTCTAAGTCGCTGAAAGAGAAAACTGGCAGCTCTAGGATCTCTAGTGGTTTGAATTAGCTTGGATCCCAACTCCTTAAAAAAACTCGCAGCACTTTTACCCCAGGCACCAAGTGTCTGAGGTAATGAGGACAAAATTTTAGTGTTGATCAAGGTCTCTGTATTTATGTTACTTGGCTGCTTCCCTATGATTGGCAGTTCTTCCTGCCTGTGCAGCACTGAAGTCAATATAGATGTTGGCTAAAGTTGAAACGCAAGTGTAATTTCACTCCAACTGTCTACCATTCTTCCAGGGGGTTTCACCGTGTTCCCGTCTGGGATCATCAAAGGCTATCATGGGATCGACAGGCTCATCACAGGCAGACGGGATCGACATCCCGTCATGGGATCGACAGGATCATCAGAGTTGCGGGAGACATTAGGTAACGGGGCTCTCTCTCTCTCATGGACAACCGGCCGTGGTAAGGCTTCTCTTAATAATGTCGTTAACTTCGTTGTGTCTTGCATGCCATCCTCCTGGCCTTTAGCAGAGAAGACCATGCCGTTCATACCTGTCGGTCGCTGCCTCACTGCAAATACACCTGTTTTCGGTGTGGATTGGGGCAGCGAGGCGGAGAGCCACAGCAATTCGAAGGGCCTGCGGTGTGAGACAGGTGCCAGTTGTTGACATTGGTGTTGCTAATAGGAAGTCACTTGCATGGGGAGCTGCTACAGCTCTAAGTCAGACAGTGTCATGTGGTGTTGTTGCAGCTTCTAGCAAAGTCTCAGCTTCTTGGTCAGCAATGAGGCGATCCCAGCTGGATTGCTTATGGGCTTCAGAAAGTAGTGGTTGGGGTGCTGCTCCTGCGAGAGAGACCTATTTGGTGATGCAGTCTGTGAAGCTGGGATCATGTAGCCCTGCCCGTTGAACTAGGTGCTCAGGTAGGATTTCCTTCACCAAGTTTGTCAAATGCCACTGAAAAGGACAGGAACGCTGGTATAGCATTTTGTGTTGCTGTGGGCATGCCAAGGCCCTCGAGTCTGACAGGAAGGGAGGCCTGTTTCCACTATGAGTCGCTGAGAGAAAGGTTGAGGGGCTTTTTCTAGCATTGATTTCAGCAAGCTGTCGTGCTCTTCAAATATAATATTATTGAAAGATGGCGAACATCTAAGAAAGTAGGTCAGCTTGAGCGGGACAAGCATCTAGCGATGAGATAAAGTGTATCATGAGAATCGATGTCTTCAATCTTCTCGTTCATCCTCTTCAGGTCAGTGATCTTCTTACCAAGGACCTCGTCGATGGCATTCCCTCCACAGGAGCACCTAAGCGTGTGCTGTCCTCAGGGTTGGTTATATGAATGTCAGGCAAAACAACCTTTATTCGCTCTATTATGTGCTGGATGGTGGAGGTTATTTCGCACTTGGAAGAGTTCAGGGTGAGGCCTCGACTTGCTCCTTGCTCCTAAATTATTCTTATGTCATCCAAGAGGGAGTCTGGGGAGCCAGCTATAGTACCATCGTCCAAAAACCTAATGTTGAGCTCACTGGACAGGTTATCGGTGACTTCCTTGATGACTAGGCAGAAAAGAAAAGGAGCAAGGGGGTCACCCTATTGGACACCTTCTTGTGATTCAATATCATGTTCCCCGAATAGCAGAGTTTGATTCTTGCTGTAATATGAGTTTACAAACAGGTAGAGGGAAGGAAAAAGGCAATGAACCGCAGTGAGTACTGCATCCCTTCTAACCAGATTGAAAGTATTTGTGAAGTCCAGTTTTACCAGGGCTTTTTCATCCGTAATGTTGGCAATGTCCATTCTAGGTGCATAAGCCTCAGCCTCACACCCTTGGGGAATGCCAAACCCAGCCGTTTTGGCTTCAGTATGTCTGCTGCTGCCTGACTAAGTGTTCTGGCAGCAGCCTTAGCGACGAGGCGCCGGAGTGAATTGCCCACAGCTATCGGTCTAATTCCTCCATCTTTTTTCCTCAGGGCACAGAGTGAAGCGCCAAAAAAGAGAGGCCGTATGGTCTCTGGTATTTTGCCAGCTAGACATGTGTTGGAGAATCTAGTTAGTTCCACCAGGAGGCCCTGTGCAATGTCTCCCAGTGCAGGGTGGAGCATTTGTTTGATGTGGTTGGGTCTTAGTCCTGTGAACTCGCCTGCTGATCCTGATGGGAAGGATTAAGCTGCTTTGTGCACCACGGATTCGAGCACACACAGGGGTTCTGCTCACGTGACACCGACTAGGGGAACACTGTCCTGTGAAGCCAACACAGCTTGGTTTTGGCATTCCCCAAGAGTTCTTGCAGCTAGAGCCTACATTGCCAACATTACAGATGAAAAAGCCCTGATAAAACTGGATTTAAAAAATGCTTTCAATCTGGTGAGAAGGAATGCAGTACTCAGTGCCGTTCATCACCTTTTTCCTTCCCTCTACCCATTTGTAAACCACATTTTATAGTAAGAATCTAACTCTGTTATTCGCAGAATATGAAATTGAAATCACAAGAAGTTGTCAACCCGTTCTCGCTATAACACAGCACATATGTGACTAAATGCTTATAGTCCATATGCTGCTAATTTGTATAGTACCTATGTGGTAGATTGACAGTTATAATTTTTGTCCAGGCACCAACTCTTCCTCACGTATCATTGTATGTTCCATAGTACCCGTCCAACCCCGTAGACATCAGAATAGTGGTGATGGGTTCAATTTTAATGATAATTGTATGTTTCAGTTTCACTTGAGATGGGAAATTTAGTTAATATTGTCCATACTATTTGAATATCATGGATCAGCTACTTCCTATTGAAGGTTTGTAGTTTTGTTTTGAGAAATCTTGGTAATTCTCAGTAAATTTTAATAAGAACAATTAATTATTACATCTATATAAATAAAAATGTAAATGTTCCTCTGTTCAAAATTGCTAATCTCCGAAAGTTCTTAATCGATTGTTTTGAAATTTTTACACAATGTTCCATTCACATTCGAGCGGGTTTTTATATGCATACTACATAGATGTCACATCTGTGACGGGGGAAAAAACATGTTTTATTTTGAAAAACTGTGTTTTTCATGTTTTTTTTCATATGAGGGAAATCTTCGAAACCACTTTACCGATTGCTTTGAGATTTGGACACAACGTTGCATTCGAATAGGCACATGCTTTTATATATCTACTATATACATGCCTCACCTGTGACAGGAAAAAACATGATTTAAGAAAAAACAGCACCATATGTTGGACTTAAGAACAATACATGCTGTAATCTCTGATAGTGGTTCTCCAATTGCTTTGAAATTTTGACACAACGTTCCATTCGAATACAAGCGTGCTTTTATGTACCTACTATATAGATGCCACACCTGTGACAGGTAAAAACATGTTTTTTTTTTAAACAGCGGCATCTATTACATGTAATAGCAATACACGTTATACTAAATATGTTACAATTCCATTTTAATGTTTCCAATTGCATTGATAAATTGAATTTTCATAGATTTCGATTTATTTTCATTTTGATTGAATAATTTTTTGAGATAATGCGTTGGAATTGAGCTGTGTTGTTTACTATACCGTTCATTTCGTAGGTATAAGTATAGATGCCACACCTGTGACTGATAAAAACATGATTTTTTTAAGGAACAGCGCCATCTGTTGCATGTAAGAGTAATACACGCTGTGTTCTAAATATGCTACAATTACATTTCAGTGTTTGCGATTGGTGTGACAAATAGAATTTTCATGGATTTCGATTTATTTTAATTTTTCTTTAATTATTTTGTGTGATAATGAGTTGGAATTGAGCTGTGTTGTTTACAATACCGATCATGTCGTGAGTATAAGTATAGATGCCACACCTCTGACAGGTAAAAACAAGTTTTTTTGGGAAAACAGCGCCATCATGTAAGATTGACACACATGTAAGATTGACACACACTATACTAAATATTTTACGATTCCATTTCAATGTTTCCGATTTCATTGATAAATTGAATTTTCATTGACTTTGATTTATTTTCATTTTGGTTTAATTATTTTGTGTAACATTGTGTTGGAACTGAGCTGCGTTGTTTACCATACCATTCATTTCGTGAGTATAGTTTACTTTATTAATTTTTTCAATGTTTTTCATTTTTTAACTGTTTTTCTTATATTTCAGTGATGGGAACATCAGATCATTTGATGTTCTCAAATTTCTGATGGTAACATCAGATCATTTGGGAATGCATTGGACGAGGGAGTGAGGAATGGTGGGGAGGACGAGGGGACGGGAGTGGGGGATGGTGGAGAGAATGAAGGGACTGGGGGAGGGAGTAATGGAGGGAATGACGAGGGAATGAGGGAGTGGAAAATAGTGGGATGGACAAGGGGACAGGGAAGTG